TTCAGTAGTAAACAGAAGCACGTGGCAGTGTTTATTTCAGGGAGAGAGATTTGTAGCAGACGATGTATATTTTAGGGAGGGAGATTTTCAGCAGACGACATATTGGAATGCTGAATACATGATAAGAAAAAAACAATAACTTTTACTGACTTGCTGTATCAAATCCAACAAATTTACAATAATCCATTAATATATGATTTTTTTTTTAATTTCAAAGTACTGATTTAACTTGTATTTGAATGGTTTAACCTTCATGAAAACAGTAAAAGTAACTTCCAGGTATATTTCATTTACACTATATTTTTTTGTAAATATCTTGTAGTCAAAAACTACATTTCACAAATGTAAATGAAACTGAATGTTGCATATGCATACAAATTTTATACATTAACAGCTTAAAAATATTTTAAATTCCTGTCAAGAACATTTTTAGCAGGTTGTTCCTATGTGCCATCTTTTGGATTTGGATATAATTGTCTGACTTGATGAAGGACACATACAGCATTCCAGTGCAAAAAAAGAAAAAGAAAAACAACCGACTTCAAAGATAATAATAATGTCTTTAATTAATCTGTGAGTTATATAAAACATCCATTAAACCTCTCCTGTGTAAAATCAGCCCTTTTTGTTTACATTCTCTCTGCAGGTTAACACTGTATGCTATTTATAGTTCAGGGTTTATAACAGACAGTTTTACATCACTGATTAGTCACACCCACAAATACTTGCTGCCGCGGCAGCGAATGTTGCCCCTTTAAGAACGCTTAGGCCTAGGAACTTCAAACTTGGTATGGTGTTTTGTCATGACCAGCAGATTACCCCTATTGATTTTGGGATCAAGGGGTCAAAAGTCAAGGTCACATTGACATTGTAAGTAAAAACGGTTTCTGATCAATAACTAAAGAATGCTTCGGCCTAGGAACTTCAAACTTGGCATGGTGATTGGTCATGACCAGCAGATGACCCCTATTGATTTTGGGGTCAAAGGTCAAGGTCACATTGACCTTGTATGTTAAAACGGTTTCCGATCTATAACTAAAGAACCCTTAGGTCTAGGAACTTCAAACTTGGTATGGTGATTGGTCATGACCAGCAGATGACCTATTGATTTTGGGTCAAGGGGTCAAAGGTCAAGGTCACATTGACCTTGTAGGTAAAAGCGGTTTCCGATCAATTAACTAAAAACGCTTAGGCCTAGGAACTTCAAACTTTGTATGATGATTGGTCGTGACCAGCAGATGACACCTATTGAGTTTTGGGTCAAGAGGTCAAAGGTTAAGGTCATGACCAGTAGATACTTGATAACCCTTATTAATTGTTTGATCACTGGGTCAGAAGTCATGCATAATAACCTTATCACATGACTAATTGGCTGCATATAGGGGGCATACATGTTTTACAAACATATCTTGTTTTGTTTTGATTTTTAGTTTTATTTTAAATTGTTGCACGCACACACACTGGTTCAGATGTTGAAGTTGTACACAGTGTAGATACAGTAATACACAGTGTTGATAGTTGTACTCATTGTTGATTCAGTTGTACTAATTGTTGATTCAGTTTTACTGACATTGTTGATTCAGTTGTACACATTGTTGATTTAGTTGTACTTATTGTTGATTCAGTTGTACACATTGTTGATTCAGTTGTACACAATGTTGATTCAGTTGTACTTATTGTTGATACAGTTGTACACATTGATTCAGTTGTACACATTGTTGTACATTGTTGATTTTATTGTGCACAGCTGATAAGCTGTACACATTGTTGATGGTTGAACAGTATTGATACCATTTGTACACAGAAGTGACACACTTGTACATAGTGTTGACTAACAGCTGTACACTTTGTTGATTGATCATTCAGTTGTACACATTGTTGATATGGTTCTACACATTTTTATGTTTAGTGTTGTCAAGTATACATGATTTATGTAAATCAAGATAAGAGATAAGTAAAATAAAAATGATATCAAAAGATACTAAAAATTTTGATATTTCATTTTTATATGCCCTAAAGAATTTCGGACATATTATGTTATACCACCTGGCGTCTGTCTGTCCATCCGTCTGTCCGTCTGTTAGCAATTTGGTTTCTGGAGCATAACTTAAGTTCCAATTGTCCCACAATATTCAAACTTCATAGGATGATTGTCCATATTGGATAGAAGATCCCTATTGATTTTGGGGTCATAAGGTCAAAGGTCAAGGTCACTATGACCTTAAAACTGAAAACAGTTTCAGGAGCATAACTTAAGTTCCATTTGGACCACAATATTGAAACTTCAAAGGAGGATTGTTATTTGAAGGAGGTAATACTTCATTTAATTCCAATGTCTTACAAATGCTTCATCTTTACTAAAAAAAAATTCACTTTTGGGCATATAATGCTCCGCCTAGCTGTGCTCTTGTTTTAAGAATTGAGGAATATGTATCATTCAAGACTTGATATTTTAACATTACATTATTCAGCTTTGACGTCAAAAACATACAGAACATTTGTACATTGACCTCCTCCTCCAGAAAAAAATTAGTTGCAGACTGCACAGGTGCCAGCTTGCTTGTATTTTATGTCTTGTTTAATTGGTGGAAGGGCAATCTGATGTTGACATTAAGGGAGGAAAACACCATTATATAACAACCATAAAATCTTTGCTGTCTCAACAAGACATTTTGTTAAAAGATAAAAATATTATCTTATATAGTGCACAGACAAAAAGAATGGGACATTTACTTAGCTAATCCTTTCTTTAACTGTCTTCCTATAATGGACCACTTATAATGTTTGAAATATTGTCAATATTTTGGTTTGGTAGGATTTAAATGATGTGACTCAAGCAGTGAAAAGATGTAGATGTACGATATTGCCTCCAGGGTACATAAATTCAATTGGAAGTAAATGGGTGAATGGACTCCAAAGAGCCAAAGCTTATGCCTTAAAAGTTAGAAACAAATGAAATAAAAATGATGAAAAAAATGAATAAGGAAAAGAAATAAAACAAAAAGGAAAAGGAATTACTTATAGATTAAAAATAATAAAAAAATAAAGAAAAAATTAAAGGAAGAGGTAAAAAAAGGACAAAATAAGAAAATTGGTTAAAAAAATTAAATAAGAAAATTGAATAAAAAATATTCGTAATAAAAAGAAAACAGCTTAAAATTTTATTAAAAAAAATTAAGTAAAAGATAAATACTAATAACTGCCTTTGGTAAAAAGAAGAGAAAAAATCGAGCGTGGGCCCCTGCTTGCAGACTGTGGCTCTTGTCTCAAGTAGCTTTGTTTTATGTGTGCATAAGAGGCTCTAACTCCCCTAAAGTCATGGGGAATAATGAAATGTTTAATAGACAAATAGTTATTAAATATATTACTTCATGAATGTGTTTTCTACTCTAGGAACAGCTGTATCTTAACATACAATAGAAAATGTTGATTCAAACAAAACTTCATAGTTCTATATACCTTATAGCAGAATGGGATGAAAATTTATCTCAATTGCTTTTAGTTGGGAAAGAAATTTTCCTTACATTTCCTTACTCTCCTGTTAAAATGAATTATTCTTACAGTAAAATGAAAATTCTTTAAACTTTTTAAGGTGGGACATTATGGTGAGACATACATAATTATACTCTTTTGTCTTTGAAGAAGGTGACGTCCTTGACCTAGTGGTTAAAGCTTACATCTGTCATGAATCAGTAGCTCCTCACCTGTAGGTTTAAATCTTTGGATTATTTGTATGTTATGAAGTTAAATAATCTGATTAATGTAATTTAATTTTTTGGCCTATATAAAGGCACTAAAATAGAAAAAAACAATAAACTAAAGTGTTGTTTGATTTTTTAATGTACCAAGTACTCATATAAACATTTACAAATAACATCGTTCATAACAACATAATATGAATACAGTAAATTATAGCAGTAAACCTTCAACACTGTACAATATTGATTTCTTTTTGTTTGCCCAGATGAAGGCAACAATTTATATTAATTTTTTTACAAACACAGTTTTTTGATGATTTTTTTTTGTCAAGTAAACTTCTTTCATGGATAACAACAATATATTAATTTTTTACAAAAGGCAGTTTTCCATTGATTTCTTTTTTTATCAAGATTTTATTAAACTTCTTTGAATGAAAGCAACAATATGATACTTTGAAGCTATTTGCTAGTCAGTTATCGAGTATTTTGCTTAAATATATTAAAGATAACAAATTATTATATTGATTTATGTTATGTAAAGCAATAGTAATAAAGTGTTATTTTGTTGTAGTGAATAATATGTGTAATTGCTTTTTCTGAAGCCAACAGTTCATTGATTTCTTGACCAAAGTTTGTTGTTAATTACCTTTATTGAAAAGCAATAAATACAATATTATCAATGTGACATTTATTGTCTGATAACATTGGTATGTTTAATGAAGATAAAAGTATATTCATTAATTATCAGCTCATTATTGAATAGATTGCTTTTATTGAAGGTAACATTATTTTTATTTATTGCTCATGATTTAAAGCTACAATTTGCTTTTGTTGAAAGCAATAATGTGTTGTGAAGTCCAATAAAGAATAAGTAATTGCATTTACTGAAGGTACTAACATCATAATATTGATATCTTGCCAAAGTCATTTGCCTGTTGATTTGAAAAAAAAAATATAAGTCAATAATTATATTGATTTTAATGAATCTAGATTGATTACCATCATGACTGTATTGTAATGTATTGTAATAAAGTCAATGTAATATTAGGTTAACTGAAGGCAATAATATATTGATTTATGTTAAAATCAGTATATGTTTTACCCTTGCTGAAATGTAACAATAATATTGTTAAATTGTTGAAGACAATAGGAGATTGTATAAAGAAATATTGTTGTAATTCTTATCATAGTTTTTACTAAAGGTAACTATTTTGTTGACAAACTCAAGAACTTTACAACATTATACTGTTTCCAAAGGGACAGTTTCGACAAATGTGTAATGCATTAAGTTGTAAAGGTGCAAAAATATATTAGAATATGAATGTGTCTTTTAGAAATCAGGGCTACAAAGTTATATAAAAATTTTGATCAACAAGTGCAAGTTAATAAAATATCCCAGATTTGTGAGAATAATACAAAGTAATTTTATTTTAAAAGGTGATGAATTTATATTATCATTATTTTTGTTGTAAGTGCCAATAGATATTTATTTTTCATTTCAGAAAGTTTTTGTCATCCCTGTCAAGAGTAACTTCTACATCCTCGTAATTTATTGTAAATTAAATTGAGTTGTTTCAAAACTAATGACTGTTTCTATTGGTTCCCATCATTGTCACTCTGGAAAGTTCGTGTTACATTCATTGCTCACAAAGTTTGAGAACCTTTTTGGGTGGCAATTTGTGAGAATAACAGTGCATTACTTCCGTAACTGCTGTCAATAAATCTGTTTTTCTCGAATTTGATTTACGACTCTGATTCAGAGAATTCCATTTTGTGACAGTAGGCACGTTCTAATGATCTGAGTTTAAACGCATGACGTCCCCTTTTGCAGAAGAAGCAGAAAATTGCAGCAAGGCTACTCCTAAATGACTTGTTCACCGCACAATACAACACGAAATTTACAGAAAAGTTGATTGCCTGCATTAAGTTTGTAATACTTTGTACAATTTTACTTGTGTAAGTGTTACTTCCTCCGCCAACTTGGTAAATGAACTTTAAAATTTCTGAAGGCGATACTAAAATGAGGAATAGGACTACAACAGCAACGAGGGTTGCCGTTACACTGTTTAAGGCGTTATCTGTTTGCCGCCGTCTCGCTCGCATTTGTTTCTTTTGTGGCGTTGCGTTCCGCGATAATGATTGTTGAGGACTGTAACGCCAGCTTTTATTAGTGTATGTCCGGTGTTCATCATTATTTGAATGTCGTCGATGTTTGTGATGTGTTGGTGAATAGTGTATGAAAGAATGGGCGTGTCTATCTTTCACAGAGTAATTTGATGACATACTGTTCGAATTGTAAGAGAACAGCTCTCGTGGATATTTTGTAAGAAGGACTTCATTTTTCTGAGCAGGAGCCATTGCATTTCTGAGCGTTTTGGCTGTGTGAATTTTATAGATCAGGCAGACATTGAAATATAGTAGGGCTATGCATGGAATGAAGTCAAACAGTATAGCCCAAATAAGCCTTCGTATCACAACAACCTTTTCAGTAAATTCTGGTCTTGATTCTATCTTGTAATAAATTTTACCATCACAGTCTAAATGTTCTTTTATTATCTTCTCGAAGCCTATGGGAATGGTTAATGCTAAGCATACAAAATACACAACTGCAATGATAATCCTGGTCTTTTTTAACGATATCAGTTTTCGTGCTTTGAATGGATGACACACAGCAAGATAGCGTTCACCTGCCATAGCAACTGTCAGCCAAGTGCTTGTCACGATAAACCATGTAATAAGGGCTCCGCCCAACCAATGAAAGAACAGTACCCCACTAAATTCTGAGTACTTTTTATCGAACTCAATTTGAGTGTAGATGAATGCCAGTAGGCAAAACATGAAGTCTGAAATCGCAAGTCCGATTAATCCAATGTGAGCCGATTTTTCCATTTTTGTCAATGACCTACTTATTTTTTCACGAGTGAGCACCATAAAATTGAGCACATTTCCAATCATTCCAAAACCACACACAATAGGCACACCTACTTCCATTGTGTAGTAAGTGATAAGTTTTTCCATGTCCGCCTGCTCGGTCGAGATTGATTCCGACCCATTTTGTGGCGCTAACAACGATGACGCTGATATGTTTTCAGTGATTGTACTGTTACACGGGTCCATTGCAACCTGAAAATAGAAAAAAATATTTAATGGTTAAAAATAAACCTTATACAAGTAAATGTGAAGAATTTTATATTTGGCATAGTTGTACTCATAATTATACTAATCAACTTGAAGCATCTTTTTTGTGACAACTGGCATTATAAAGAGACTTTAAATTCCTTTTTGTGAAAGAACTGACCAACTCCACCTGTGTTGATAGATATACATTAGCTCTTCCTTTGGATAGTGTTTTGAATACTTTTTGATATGATAGATATTTGCAATGCATTTTATACTGACACACTAATGCCATGCCATGCTGATTATTCTAATTTAAAACAAAAAAAAATTGTGAAACACATGGGGGAGGTCTAAATGTTATTTAATAAAAAAAGCCCCCTAACTCTTTGATCCTAGAATATCAGAATTTAATTGCAACACTGTGTTAACTAGTTCTTCAAGTTTATTATGGTACAGCAATGTTGTGTTTGGCTGGCAAATTGTCAGGTACAATGAATGATCACTCTTGTGTTATGATGTGTATTGTGTCACACATGAAAAGTATCGGAAGTGAAAGTCCCTGATGCATAGACAAGGTGTTTGATTGCAGCGTTTGATTCCGACATAAATAACATATAAGTAACTGTTGTCCCACTGTTTTATTGTGTGAATAGGAACATTTAAACTTACTGACATTTACTGAAACATGACTGTAATATTGTCAGTGGGTCTGTTGCAAGCCATTTCAAAGCTAAAATGGATTAGATTTTGGGGGCGTTTAACTAGGCTTTTTATAATTTAAATGTGAGCGAATGTTTTGACATGAAAATGGAGACAAGTTCCTGCTTAACAAATAAAATAAATAGATTTAGTCAGCAAATAATTTAATTTGAAAACTGGCCTATTATTTTCAGTGCAGTGAAACCTGTAGCTAAGAATTGATTTACACTAGAATCTTTAGAAATCATTTTTTATTTATAATTATTGAATATAATGGAAACATAATGCTTAAGTGGACTGGAATTTTTTTCCAGAGATTTCTATACCATTTGATGAAGATCTTTACAAAAAACTTTTACCTGTGTCTGTAACTATGAAATAATTGTGCAAGATGACTTGATAGGGGGCGTGGACGGTAACTTGCACTTTCCAGTACCGTCCATGAACAGGCTCAATCAAACCGAGCCTGCAACATTTTCAATTTTGCCGTGTTGGGCTTTCTTTAGGGATTCTTTATTTATCTATTTGATAAACTCAAATTGAGCAAATTTGATAAAATATTTTATTACCCTTTTCATATTTCTCTATATTAAGCATTTTAGGATTTTTATTCTCAGCCAAACACTTAAAATGCTGCCTTAGGCAATATGGTAATAGATTTTTAGAGTAATTCTACACTAGTTCATGACAAAAAATTGAGTGTAGGACAAAAGCCCCCCCGGACGAAAGCCCCCCCATCCAAAAATGACAAGGTGGACAAAAGCCCCCCCCATGAAATTTTCACATAGGACAAAAGCCCCCCCCCCCCCATCAAAAATACAGGTAGGACAAAAGCCCCCATCTTTTTTTCACACGCGCAGGTGCTCAAATTCATCAAATTTCACACAAACTTTTAAATAAAAATGAATAATTTTGTTTAATGCTTTATTTATAATGTAGGAATGTTGAATGAATGGAGAAAGTTTGATAAAAAATTAAGATAAATGCATGCAGCAATATAATTATATTTTGAAAATACCAATCATTCAGTGCAGAAATGTAGTAAGATTTTAATTTTACACTAAATTTTTAACAGATCAATTTTAATTATATAATGGACTATGTTACATACATGTGATTTTTCCAGAATTTCATACCTTTGATGAAGACACAAAAAAACACCTTTAACTAACTTATATGTCAAATTTGACTTGAACTAAATTGGGGGGGCAAATTTGATCAATATTTTATTTTTTCTTTTGTCCTATGTAAGATTTAGGAGGTGCTTTTTCAGCCAACACTTCAATTTTTAGAATATGGAAAGATTTTCTAGAGTTATTGTACCGTTATGCCAAAAAATTAAGCAAACTTGGCATAAATTGTGTACTTTGCAGCACTTGGTTTTCAGTAAACGTAATTTTCTACTCAAAGTATCATTAAGCCATCAAAATGCTATGATCTTTATTTTTCGAATAATATTTTTTTGGTTTCCTGTAACAATTTCTTCACATATGCAAATTTGCCATATTGCTGAGCTGACGTACTGTTGCTTTTTTATCTTTTTGGAAATAAGTACAGATAAGTGATTTAGTATTTTGTATGGAAGTCAAAATACCAATTTTGTTACCTTTTTCACAAATATTTTATATTCAGCACTAATTCCTGAAGGTGATAAGCACTTCACATGATCCTAATTCATTATTACAACATTATTAAACACATGTTCCCTAATTCTCATCAAAAAGAAAAAAATATTCATTTCTGAGGCTAATGTGTTTTTAATTATGTGTTTTTTTTTGTATACATGTTTGACTATAGTTTGAACATCTTTCAAAGTATGCATGTAGATTCTCCAATGATAAATTAAATTTTGAAAAAAAGTTATTCTTAAATGCTTAGAGTTGAATAATAAATAAACGTTTGAAACATTTTGGTAATTATTTTGAAATACAAGTTTCATAAAGTTGTGAATGCAGATTAGATTTGTAATTAATTTGTTAGAATTTGCATTTGAATGTTAAGAGATTCAGTATCAATTCAATATTGTAAGATTGTTTTTCTTTAAGCATCTGTTTATCTATAAATAGATTTTATGTTTTCTGAAAGGCATTGAATAAAACAAACCAGGAGTACACCAAAAAACTGAGGTACTCAGGGAGTGTAAGAACTGAAATTGATCTTAAAATTGATGTAGACCAATGACCAGCATTGTTGTATTAAAGCCAGATGTTCAGACGCTTATCATTGTTGTTAGTAAAAATAAATTATTAGGCTTTTGATTTTAGAATCCTCAAATCCCTATTATCTACAAATGGGTAGTTCCGAATTCATACGAGGCCTGAGGTCCATTCTACAAATTCAGCATACTGCAAGCCTGGGTTCAGCATGAACAGACCATAGATCATTTAAAACCAAACTGTCTAGGTACCATATGACCTAAACTGTGTTAGTGCACCGTAAAAACCAAACCAAATAAACAAAGACAAATTAAATTATTTTTCCTGATTAACAAAAAGGCCAATTTGCTAAAAAAATTGTTTTCTGTTAGGTTTTTAACCCTTTACTTGTTGATTTTTTTTAATAGATTTGCCTAGCTTTGAATTTAGATCAGTATATATAAATCTTAACAAATTTCAATAACAAAATACAATAGTTAAGCCACTAACAGTATATATAGCCGCTGGTCTGATACTTGATTAAAGTAAATATGGTATTTTAATGCTTTTTATTTCAATATGTAAAATTAGAAATCAAATTTTGTATATTTTAACTCTGTTTCAAACAGAATTATAGGACTTATATTTTATCACAATTATATGAACTTACACTAAAACAGTGTTATAGGACTTATATTTTATCACAATTATATGAACTTACACAAAATCAAGTCTAAAATTTTCCCCATTGCTGTATGGACAAATGCATAATTTCTACTAGACGCCGCTTGCAATCGGCGTCTAATGAACTTGATAATGCAATTACACCTGATCATATGGATTGACAATTAAAAATGTATATTTCACACAGTTTCTTACAGTGTTATATGATTTATATTTCATCAATGTTGCAATTATATTAACCTAGTTATGCAATCTCCATCTGATCATGCAATTTCCTGGATAGGATCACATTCTCTTGCATACATCCTATAAACTCATTTCCTCAAAGTGAAATATAGTCATAAACTTATTATTTTTCCATAATCACAGGAGTAAATTTCGTTTCTTTGTAATAAGCTGGTGCAATTTGAGAGTTTCTTCAGGCAAATATACCAAGATGCCAAGAAATGATCTTATTTCCTTTATATAATTAAGTATTTTCAAATGCACAAAATAAAGAACATGTTTCTGAGTGATGAATATCATTTGTTGAATTTTTGTGAAATGGACTGCTCTTACTTTGAATTTTGGAATAGTCCATTTCAAAACTGTTAATGTGGGGAATTGCCCTGGATTCCGGCAAAAGAATTCGTAAATTGAGGGCCCTGTAGAGCATATTAAGTATCATTTCACTCAACTTGAGAATCCACCACATAAGTATAGGAACTGGTTAGCAGTAATAGAATATGCTTTTTGAAAGTAAAGCTACAGTCTCAGTTACATCCCGGCAGAGCCCCGGTAGACGTCTGGGGTGATACGGGAACAAGTGGGTACATCCGTAACTCTGCCGGAACATCCTGGATGATCCGAGTAGATCTGACATTTGACCCTGGATGGAATAAAATATTTAATATCGCCGGGGTGTTCCAGGATGATCAGGGCAGTATAGCTTTGCCGGCTTTATCCTGAACTCTGCAGGGAACGACCAGGGAAGCACCGTAGCTCTACCGGCACAAACTTGGGATGATCCGGGGTATGATATAGCCGGTAGAGCCCCGGTGAATGCTGGCAGAGCTCCAGAGGATGACGATGGAGCTACGGTTGATCCCAGTAGAGCCCCAGCAAAGCACGGTTCATTTCAAAAGAACCACGACAATTTGCGATGATTGCACTTGTTTATATTAAAACCGTTCCAATTTCCCTTCCATCCAGTCTTGCATTAGGATATTTCAGAAAATCATCATGAATTACTATTCTGGAACAATAGATATTATATTAAATAAAAATTATTTAATGTATCAATGTAATCATTTTCGCGCGTTTTCTATCCACCGGGGTTCTACTGGGGGCTCTGCCTGGATCATCCTTGGCTCCACCGGGGCTCTGCCTGGATTGACAGGGGCTCTGCCTGGGTCAACCGAGGCTCTTCCGGGAACAACGGTGGAAGTAACGGCATGTCAACCAGAGTTTTTGCCCCTATTTGATTGATTGATTCTTACCCCTGTT